TGCTTTGGGTAGTGCTTGCAGCAATGTTTTGTGGCTTTCAGTGTACAAGATTTTTGCCTTCTTGATTAAATTTCTTCCTAAGTATTTTATTCTTTTCAATGCTATTATAAATTGAGTCGTTTTCTTAATTTTTGGATTGTTCATTGTTAGTATGTAGAGATGAAATATTTTTGTGTGTTGATTTTATATCTTGCAACCTTGCTGCATGCTTTTAATTAGCTCTAACTTCAAAGAAAAAGATTTTAGGATTTTCTATATATAAAATCATGTCATCTGTGAACAGAGAAAATTTTACTTTTTCCTTTACAATTTGAATGCCTTTTATTCCCTTTTCCTTTTCTTGCCTAATTGCTCTGGTTGGAACTTCCAGTACTATGTTGAATATAAGTGGTAAGAGCAGACATCTTTATCTTGTTCCTGATCTTAAAGAAAAAGCTTTCAGTCTTTCACCATTAAGGTATGATGTTAGCTGTGGGCTTTTCATATAAAAATGTCCGTCAATATATGAGGTGGGATGATTCCAGGAATCCCCTCAAAATCATCTGAGGATGTTCAAATCCCTTATATAAAGTGCTATAATATTTGCACCTACACACATCCTTCCATATATTTTAAATTATCTCTAGGTTACTTGTAATACCTAACACAATGTAAATGCTATGTAAATCGTTGTACTGTATTTTTAAAACTTGTATTTTTTGGCTGTAGTCTTATTTTGTATTGCTTTTCCCCAAATATTTTATATCTGCTGTTGATTTAATCCCTGGATATGGAACCTGCAGAGACAGAGTGCCAACTCTATGGCCTTTATCATGCTGATGAAGTTTCCTTCTGTCTTAGTCCATTTTGTGCTGCTATAACAGAACACTTGAAACTAGGGAATTTATAATGAGCAGAAATGTATAGGCTCATGCTTCCAGAGGTTTGGAAGTCCAAGATCAGGGAGCCAGCATCTGATGAGGGTCTTCTTGCTGTGTTATTCCATGGTGGAAGGCAGAAGGGCTAGAGAGAATGAGAGGGATTAAGAGGAAGAAAACAAACCCGAAACTTCAAGCCCTTTTGTAATTGGCATTAATCCATTCATGATGGTAGAGCCCTCATGACCTGTACACCTCCCATTAGGTTCTATCTCTCAGTGCTGTTACTTTGGGGATTAAGTTTCCAATACATGCTTGTTGACACATTCAAACCATACCATCTTCTAGACCTAATTAATTAAATATTTATATCAAGAAAGGATGTTGACATTTATCAAATGCTTTTTCTAAAACAACTGAAATGGCCATGTATTTTTTCCTTCATTCTATTAATGTGGTATATTTCATTGATTGATTTTTGATTTTTACATGTCGAACCATCCTTGTATTCCAGGAACAAATCAATGTATACTTCTTTTAACATGCTGCTGAATTTGATTTGCTGGATTTTGTTGATTTTTTCCATCAATATTCCTAAGGAGTATTGGTCTGTAGTCTTTTCCATTTTCTTTTTTTTCATAGAGACAAGGTCTTGCTGTATTGCCCAAGTGTGGTCTTGAATTCCTGGCATCAAGTGACTCTCCTGCCTCTCTCTCCCAAAGTGGTTTTCTTTTCTTGAAGTGACTTTGTCTGATTTTGGTATCAGGGTAAAGCTGACCTCACAGAATTAGTTATGAAGTGTTCCCTCCTCTTCAGTTTTTTTTGTAAGTTTGAGAAGGATTGGTATTAGTTCTTTACATTTATGGTAGAATTAACCAGCAAAGCTATCTGGTCCTGAGCTTTTCTTTCTTGAGATATTTTTCATTATTGATTTAATCTTACTAGTTATTGGTTAGATTTTCTATTTCTTCATGGTTTAGTTTTGGTGGATTGTGTTTTTAGGAATGTTTTCATTTCATTTAGGTTATCTAATTTGTTGGTATACAAATGTTCATAGTATTCTCTTACATTCCTTTTTATTTCTGTAAAGTTCATGGTAATGTCCTCACTTTTATTCCTGATACTAGTAATTTGAGTCTTCTCTTATTTTTCTTTGTCAGTCTAGCTAGTTTTGTCATTTTTATTGATATCATCAAAGAATCGACTTTGGTTTTCTTGATTTTTCTCCACTGTTTTTCGATTCTCTATTTCATTTGTCTTCACTCTAATCTTGATTATTTCCCTCCTTCTGTGAGCTTTGGGTTTAGTTTGCTCTTCAAGCTCTCTGGTCTTTAGTTTTTCCTTTTCTCACTCCTTAAAGTGTGATGTTAGGTTACTGATTTAAGATTTTTTTTAGATATATGCATTTGCAACTATAATTTTCCCTCTTAGCACTGCTTTTGCTGCATCCCTTAGGTTTTGGCATAGTGTAGGGGGGGTGTGTGTGTGTGTGTGGGTGTGTGTGTGTAGGTGTGTGTTTCCGCTTTTCTCATGTTACTTCCTAATTTCCCTCATGATTTCTCTTTTGACCCATTGGTTTTCTTGTTTGTTTGTTTGTTTGTTTGAGACAGAGTCTCGCTCTGTCACCCAGGCTGGAGTGCAGTGGCACGAATTCAGCTCACTACAACCTCCACCTCCCAGGTTCAAGGAATTCTTGTGCCTCAGCCTCCCAGGTAGCTGGGATTACAAGCGTGCACCACCATGCCTGGCTAAGTTTTGTATTTTTAGTAGAGATAGGGTTTTGCCATGTTGGCCAGGCTGGTCCCAAACTCCTGGCCTCAAGTGATCTGCCTGCCTCAGCTTCCCAAAGTGCTGGGATAACAGGTGTGAGCCACCATGACTGGCACCCCATTGGCTATTTAATTTTCACATATTTGTGAATTTTTTAGTTTTCTATTATTGATTTCTAGCTTCATTGTGGGTGGTCAGAAAATATATTTTATATGATTTCAACCTTTTCAAATATATTAAAACTGGTTTTTGTGGCCACAAACTTGTTTTGCGGCCTATCTTGGGGAATGTTTCATGTGCACGTGAGAAAAATATCTATATTGTTGGATGGAGTGTTCTGTTTATGTCTACCAGGTATAATTGGCTTATGGTGTTGTTGAAGTCCTCTATTTCCTCATTTATCTTCTGTCTGGTGGTTCTGTCTCTCACTGAAAGTGGTGTTTTGAAGTCTCCAAATATTATTATAGAGGTATCTATTTCTCCCTTCAACTCTGCCAGTGTTTGCTTCATACATTTTGAAGCTCTGATATTTGGTGCATATATGTTTATAACTGTTGCATATTCTTGATGAATTTATCCTTTTATTAATACATAATATACTTTTTAATCTCTTGTAATAGTTTTTGACTTATAGTCTATTTTGCCTGATGTTAGTATAGTTACCTCATCTCTCTTTTGGTTACTATTTGTATGGGAATTTTTTTAGGTCCTTTCATTTTCAACTTCTTTGTGTCTTTAGATCTGAAGTGAGTCTTTTGTAGACAGCACTTAGTTGTCTCATATTTTAAAAATCCATTCTGCCAATCTATGCCTTTTGATAGGAGAATTTGGCTGGGCGCGGTAGCTCATGCCTATAATCCCAGCACTTTGGGAGGCCAAGGCAGGCAGATCACCTGAGGTCAGGAGTTTGACACCAGCCTGGCCAACATGGTAAAACCCTGTCTCTACTAAAAAAATACAAAAACCACCACGCCCGGCTAGTTTTTTGTATTTTTAGTAGAGACGGGGTTTCACCATGTTAGCCAGGATAGTCTCGATCTCCTGACCTCGTGATCCACCCGCCTCGGCCTCCCAAAGTGCTGGGAGACACAGCGAGACTCCGTCTCAAAAAAAAAAAAAAAAAAAAAAAATACAAAAACCAGATGGGCATGGTGGCGTACACCTGTAATCCCAGGGAGAATTGCTTGAACCCAGGAGGCAGAGGTTGCAGTGAGCCGAGATTGGGCCTCAGCACTCCAGCCTGGGCAACAGAGCAAGACTCTATCTCAAAAAAAAAAAAAAAAGGAAAGTTTAACCTATTTACATTTGAATTAATTGCTGATAAGGAATGTGTTACTACTGCCATTTTGCTATGTGTTTCCTGTATGTCTTGTAGCTTTTTTGACCCTCATTTATTCTATTACTGCCTTCTTTTGTGTTTTGTTCACTTTTTATAGCAACACATTTAGATTCCCTTCTCATTTTCCTCTGTGTTATGTTCTATAAATATTTCCTTTGTGAACATGGGGAAACAGGACAAGCTGCCACAAGTATGTAAGGTGATGCACATGTTCAGTCCCTGTGGGGATCCTGTGTGCCATCCTCTCCATGCCCTCCTGTCGTCACTCCACTGCTCAGCCTTAAAGATCTGTCATTCTAAGAAACATTCTTAATGGAAAAGTGGTACAATGATATTTTAATGGTGATTCTGGAAAAAAAAAAAAAAAAGGCAAATGAAAAGCATTTCTAGCCCTCTGGGAGAACTCACTGGTTTACTGTTGGTAGAAGCTTCTTAAGGCCTTTCAGACACACTGTGTCCCATTGTGATCCCAGCACGGGCCACCCTGAGCCCTGTGTCCCTGTATCTGTGCCAGTGTGAAGATCTGCAGAGCCCACGTCTGAGCATTCTTGATCTCGAACTCCTGAGCTCAAGTGATCTGCCCACCTTGGCCTCCCAAAATGTTGGTGTTACAAGGGTGAGCCATCGCACCTGGTCTGAGCCACCATGCCTGGCCCTGGGCATTCTGAGCCACCTGTGCCACCCTAGGCCCCAGCTATTTCCTGATGGCCCTGCAGGTGGCCCATGAAAAGTAGATTCTTAGCCCCTCTGAGTTTGATTTCTGTGGCGAGCTCTGTGAAAGTGGGTTTCTAGCACACCCCTTCACTTCCATCTTCTGGTGGGGCAGGTTGGCAGCAGGCAGGTTGGCAGGCCAGGGGCAGCTCTCAGCTGTGCAATGCACACCACACGGGCTGGGATGGCTGTGATTCTGCAGGTGCACCCTCCTGGTGGGCACCCACTTCGGGGGTGATGCCCTCCTGTGGTGTCAGTACAAGGCTGTCGTCTCTGGTCCCCTTGGGCTGTGCTGGCTCATGCCCCTGTGCTGTCTGTTTTAGATCAGACGTATTGTGACCGCCTGGTGCAGGACACGCCTTTCCTGACAGGCCACGGGCGCTTGAGTGAGCAGCAGGTGGACAGGATCATCCTCCAGCTGAACCGCTACTACCCACAGATCCTTACCAACAAGGAGGCGGAAAAGGTGCTGAGGAGGTGAGGGGGGGTGCCCGAGACACTGCTCAGTTTCCCTTCCCTTCTGGGCTGGGAGAAGCTGGTGACCAGCCCTGGGTCATTCTCTCACGGGAATGACACACTAGGTATGTCAGGATTCAGAGGTGACATATCTGGACCTGGCTCCTAAGGCTGCCTGAGCTACAAACTGACCCTTTGGGGCCCTTTGGACCAAACAAGCCCAGAACGTCAGCTCTCTGTGCCTCAGTTTCTTCCTATGTCATTGGGTATGCTGTCCCCGAGTTGCTGGGAGATTATAGGAGATAACGTGACAATACATGAAGCACATGACAGTATAAGACTTGGAGGGAGGCAAGAAAGAGGGCGAGAGGGAGGGGTGAGGAGGGCAGAGGCAGAGGGAGAGCTGAAGTGGGATGGGGAACAGATAGTCCTGGCCCACCCTAGTGCCACAGTGCTTTGCATTCTGCATCTTCTGAAGGTTCAAAGTGGGCAAACAATTGCTTCCTTTTCTCTAATTTCTATGTTACTGTACGCGGCTGGAAAGCCCAGCATGTCACAGGTAGGCAACCGAGCTTCTAGGAAGGCAGATGCTGACCCACCCCATGGCCGTGCCACCGTCTGCCCCTCTCAGCAGTGCTGAGCGGGCTGGTCCCCTCGGAACCCCAGCTTCCCCATGTGTGAAGCAGACGCTGAGAGCCCTGCCTGGCAGGTGTGGTATGGACTGACTGAGCTGAGCCGGGTAAACGCCTGCCCGAGAGCCCTTATCACCAGAGGGCCCTGCAGCCCTGTGGGCACCGCGCCCGTCACCCCATCTCACAGAGGTGATCCCAAGGCCCAAGAGGCAGCCGCTTGCCCGGGGCCGCTCATCTCAGGAGTGCCAGGCCATGTCCTGAGTTCATCCTATTGTTTGGGAAAGTGCCCAGGGCCGGTGGCTGTTGCTCTGTCACATGGCCCTGGCCTCTCAGAGCTGCAGAGCTGGAAACAGCAGGGTGGCTCTGCTGGAGATGGCATTTAAGATGCAATTCCTGGGCTCTGTCTTGGGAAGTCTGTCCTGCCCCATCACCCCAGTGCCAGGTGGCCCTGAGGGGACAATGGATGAGAGAGTTAGCCACACCCTGCCGACCCTGCCCACATCTGTGGCTCTGGCGCCCGCACTGAGCCACCTGTTCCTTAACAGCTATCACCAAGACCAGAGGGATGGGCAGTGAGTGCCAGAGACCCCTAGGCCTTCGGGGTACAGGTCCTGCCAGCCTCCTTCCCCTCTGGGTGACCCCAATTGAGTCCCTTCTCTTGGAGCTGTCATTTCCTCACGTGGCAGGGGGTCATGATGCAGGGCTATCCTTAGGGTTGGGGCATCTCCTGGCACAATGAGGTTGGCCCACAACAGAACACAAGTCAACACGGGCCCTGCTACTGGCTCAGGTGCTTCTTCCATTGTGAAGGTGATACAGTAATTTTAAAAGTTAGGAGCTCAAATCCATCTCTTATTATTGTAATTGAAGTCTAATGCATGTTCACTTTTAGAAAGTTTAGAAAGTTTCGGATGTTTATACAAGAAAAACCACATATTCCTTCCTCACAGACACCATAGCTTCTGCCACCCATCTGGCTGTCATTTCCACACTGCCATGGTTTTACTCGTTTCCTGTGGCCATGTAGAATGGTATGTTGCCACCAGGTGGCAGCACTGGGCCACAGACTCCGGGTCCTGGCGGTCAAGGCCCAGTGGCCTGTCCACTGACCTTGAGAACCACACATTTCTCTGTCAGACACATCAAAAGAGCCAATACTTTTGTCACTCTTTTCTCTTTTTTTGAGATGGAGTCTGTCACCCAGGCTGGAGTGCAGTGGCGTGATCTCGGCTCAGTGCAACCTCTGCCTCCCAGTTTCCAGTGATCCTCTGGCCTCAGCCTCCCAAGTAGCTGGGATTAAACATGCACCACCATGCCTGGCTAATTTTGTGTACTCTTAGTAGAGATGGGGTTTCGCCATGTTGGCCAGGCTGGTGTCAAACTCCTGACCTCGAGCTCCTGATCTGCCTGCCTCAGCCTCCCAAAGTGCTGGGATTACAGGCATGAGCCATCGCGCTCAGCTTCAACTTATTTTTTAAAAACTTGAATCACATTCCTGTAGACTGCAAAATAACAGAAGTTAGCACTTATACCTCACTTCATTAATTCCCTGTCATAGCCTACCATGAGGGTTCATTATCCCCTTTTTACAAATGAAGAAACCAAGTCTCAGAGGGGTGGAGTAGCTGGCTGAGGTCACACAGGAAGCCACACTATGTCCTAACACTTGGAATGATGTCACCAGCCCTGTGCTTTCTTCTTTTTTTTTTTTTCTTTTTTTTTTTGAGACAGAGTCTTGCTCTGTTGCCCAGGCTGGAGTGCAGTGGCGCGATGTCAGCTCACTGCAAGCTCCGCCTCCCAGGTTCACACCATTCTCCTGCCTCAGCCTCCCGAGTAGCCGGGACTACAGGCGCCCACCACCACACCTGGCTAATTTTTTTGTATTTTCTAGTAGAGACGGGGTTTCACCGTGTTAGCCAGGATGGTCTCGATCTCCTGACCTCGTGATCCGCCTGCCTTGGCCTCCCAAAGTGCTGGGATTACAGGCGTGAGCCACTGTGCCCGGCCAGCCCTGTGATTTCTTTGTGACCGCTCCCGGCCTGTTTCCCAACCTCCCACCCCACAGGGAGTATGAGGAGTAGCAGTGATGCCTGTGACAGAGGCAATGCCAGGCACTATGTGGTGTGGGTAAGGGGCAGGGTGTCACAGGAGCTGCCATCCAGCAGGTGTCCTGACACTCAATGGGGAAGCTGAGGCTGGGGGCCTGACCTTGGTGCCCTGCCCTGACCCACAGCCAGCCCCCCTGGCCTGATCTTCCCTGGCCTGATCTTCCCTTATACCCTCAGTTCCGGAACCCCAAGGCGTCCTTGCGTGTGCGGCTCTGTGACCTCCTGAGCCACCTGCAGCGGAGCGGCGAGCGGGACTGCCAGGAGTTCTACCGAGCCCTGTATATCCATGCCCAGCCCCTGCACAGCTGCCTGCCCAGCCGCCACGCTCTGCGTAAGTTCCACGTCCCCAACCATGTATGCTTGGTGCCGGCCCAGGGAGGGCACCCCAGCCTGCTGCTGATGCCATGGATGTTCTCCGTGACCTCCCAAGTCTGCTGCAGCCCAGGCCTGGCATCCCCTCTCGCCTCAGCCCTTCCCCAGAGGCCACCCTCAGCCCCGAGGGGAGAGTGTGGCAGGCACAGGCAGTGCAGATGTTGGTCTCTGTCTCCCACTTTCTCCATCTCTCTCTGTCATGGCAGTTTTCACACAGAAGGGGGCATCTTGTGCGTCCTCTCTTGCCCTTCCTTTTCTAGCCTCGTTCCAGGGGGATCCTTTCCTGTCTGTGTGGACAGCAGCCTTGTTCCCACAGCTGCATAGCGCTCCTAGGCGGTCCCCGCTGGAATTACCCAACCCCATGATGAACCCTTTCATTGCCGTGATCTGCACACGTGTGGGGGTTTCCACAGGGCGTGGTCAGGCCCGGATGGCTGGTCCGAAGCACATGCATTTCAGCTCTGAGGCTCCTGTCCTCAGGCAGTGTGCGCTCAGGCCCCGGGAGTCATGTGGATGCCAGTAGCCTGGGCCCACAGAGCTGCCGGGACGTTCAGGGCGCCTCGAGGTGAAGACGGCAACTCTGATCTGTCGCCTCTGTGGTCAGGGCCCTAGGAGGAGGGGCTACCGCCCCGTGGCCCTCAAGCAACAGGACAGAGACCAGAGGGACTGGGTGGCTCACCCCAGGCTACTGGGCTGGGGGTCTCTGAGCCCCCGGAGGCCTCCCCAGGCCTCACAGGACACAGTGCAGATGGTGGGCAGGGAGAGCTCGAGGGGAGGCCCAGCCCTGCAGGAGGGACTGGCTCTCCCTCCCGAGCCACGAGTATGCCACAGGGGGCTTTCAAAACCAGGCAGGGCCAAGCCTCGGCCCCACTGGAGGTGGAGCACCTTCTGTGGCTCCCGCGTGCCTTTAGGCCCGTCCAGCAGGTCTCAGGCTGGATAACCTCCGGGGGAGGCCTGGGCAGAAAGCTTCTGGCCCAGCTGCACCCAGTGAGGCAGCCACCAGGCCGGCAGCAGCCACGCTGTCCACAGCAATGTTCATGCCGCGTTTGGTGCCTGTGGCCACCAGGGTACAATGACCTTCCCTATGCCTGTGGCACTTGAAGTCACAGCAGCTGGACCACCGGAGAAGACCCAGACTGTGCATAGTTCCCTGAGGAGGGTTGGTCTCGGGTACCACGGCCTGGTCTGGCCTGGCGGCCCCAGGAGGCGGCAGTGGCCTTGGGCTTCCTATGGGGTGACGACCTTGCTCTCCGGCCCTGCCCATTGACTAACCATGCTCTGTGGTTTTGTTTCTAGAGAACTCAGATTGCACACAGCTAGACTCGGGCAGCCAGAGCGGCGAGCTGAGTGACAGGGGTAACACCTCCCTGCTGCCCTCCCTCTCTCTCCCTCTTTCCCTCTCTCTTTACCCTCCCCAGGGCTCCATCTCCGCCTCAGGGGCTTCTCCACCCCAAGTGTGGCTCCATTCCTGGCCTTCTGTTGGTGACAGACCCCCTAAGGTGCTCGCTTGGGGGCTCTTCAGGCAGCACCTCAGCCTGGCACCCCCTCCCCTGCGCAGCCCCCGAGCCTCAGGACCCCACCCCTCTGAGGCCCAGGGGAGCCCTGTTCACGCTGGTGTCTCCCCAGGACCCATGAGCTTCCTGGCTGGTCTGGGCCTTGCTGTGGGACTGGCCCTGCTCCTGTACTGCTATCCACCAGGTGGGTGCAGGTGGACCCTCACAGGGCTGGGCCTGCTTCCCCTCTGCCACCAAGCCAGGGCCCCAGACCCTGCCCAATTTGGGACCCCTTGGCCTCTCCACACCTCAGTGTCCACACTTGAGCAGTGGGATGGTGTCACCTTGCAGGGCTCATGAGAAATGGGATGTGAGGAGGCTCCCAGCGTCCACTGGCTCCTGCCGCCCTTGGGAACCAGAAAATGATGACCCCTAGCGGGAGGAGGGGTGCAGCCGGGACTCTGGGTGTTACAAAGCCCTGCCACACCTGTGGCCTTGAGCCATGTGGGGCCCTTGAGCAGGTCACGTGCCCCAGGGCCTTGGGTCTCTCCACCAGCCACAGGCCTGATGCATAGGAGCCTCCCAGGGCCCGTCTACTGGCGCCCAGCCTGGCCTGCCCCGTCTCCCTTTTCTGTGATGCCTGAGTTTGTCGTGCTGGGAGGCCTACTGGGCGCGAGGACACAGGCACACATGGCAGGACTCAAGGCCCCTGGGTCACTTGGGTGGGAGCTGGGGGCTCTGGAATCTGCCCTAATTCTTGTCTTTTCAACTCAAGCCAAGACCATGACTGGGAGGGAGCACCCTGCCCCAGTGCCCGCTCCCCCCCACCCCCGTGGGAGGGAGGGAAACACAGAATTCACCTCTGGGACTGGCTCGTGAGCTTTTTGCCTCCCCTTTTGTCTTCTAGACCCCAAGGGCCTGCCAGGGACCCGGCGCGTCCTCGGCTTCTCGCCTGTCATCATCGACAGACATGTCAGCCGCTACCTGCTGGCCTTCCTGGCAGATGACCTAGGGGGGCTCTGACAGACCCCGGACCCAGGGCCTCACCCGCCACTCAACCAAAGAGTCCTCCAGCCGACCCGCCAAGGGGACTGCTGCTTCTTTTTCTAAATGCTTATTTTTCATTATTTATAATTTGTGTAAAAAACACACCTTCGGCCGGGCGCGGTGGTTCACACCTGTAATCCCAGCACTTTGGGAGGCCAAGGCAGGCGGATCACGAGGTCAGGAGACTGAGACCATCCTGGCTAACACGGTGAAACCCCGTCTGTACTGAAAATACAAAAAACTAGCCGGGCGTGGTGGCGGCGCCTGTGGTCCCAGCTACTCGGGAGGCTGAGGCAGGAGAATGGCGTGAACCCGGGAGGCGGAGCTTGCAGTGAGCTGAGATCGCACCACTGCACTCCAGCCTGGGCGGCAGAGCGAGACTCCGTCTCAAAAAAAAACAAAAACAAAAAAACACCTTCATCTTACCAGGTGCTGACCATATTAAATGTTCAAGTTCCCTCAGCCTGCCTTGCTCCTCAGTCTCAGGAGGGCTTCAGAGATGACGGCAGCTATGGCTGCTTCAGCTGGGACTGGCCCTGGTGTTCCCGGCATCTCCACATCCAGCTGCTGGCACAGACCCCCAGACAGGACACCCCCAACATGGGCTCACCTGCCTCGGATAAGCCCCCGGGCACTGCCTCCCCACCTCAGATGTCCCCCACACTGCCCCCTCCTCCCACCTTGTGTGCCTCTCTCTGTCACACACACACACTCTCTCTCTCTCTCTCTCTCTCTCTCTCTCTCTCTGGCTGCTGAGCCTGGGCCGGAGACCTGCTTCCCTCCCCTTGTCAGCTCCTCCCCCAAGCCTTTTAGTGGGGAAACGAGAATATTTGTCAACCCGCAGAATCATCATGAGTTTGCATTTTCCAGGGGGTTTCTGGAGGCACCCAGGCTTTGCCCCAGAAGGTGCTGGGGGCCCCTAACCCTGGGGTGATGCCACTGGCAGGGCGAGGCTATGAGTGCGGCTCCTGGAGGGACCATGCTCAGTCAGTCGCAGGGTCGCTGCGCATGTTACAGTGGGAACCAGGCTGACCGCGGAGTGTGGAGCTCCAGGACATGATGTCCCGTTACTGGGCAGCGCTGCTGCTTGGTCATCACAGTGCCTGCCCCTTCAGGGATCTGAGGGCCAGGGACAAGGAAAGCCAGAGCCTCAGAGCCCTCCCACCTGCCAGGCTGCCACGCGCCCACTGAGTGGGGTGGCGGGGGGACAGCCCTAGCTGCCCTCTCCCTCCTCCACCCTGAGCCGCGGGGCCAGGGCCTGTGCTCCAGTCTCAGCCCGTTTGCCCACCTGTGAAATGGGATCCCTCCCTCGGGACTCCTCCTTGAGCATGGGTTCTGTCACAGCCCCCCTGCCTCAGAAATCCTTTTAGGAATTGACCACCTTGCTCCAGGTGCCCCCTCATGCCTGGGTAAAGGAGACACATACTTAGTGAAGGTGACAGGTGTGACTTGTCCCTGGAGAGCTAAGGAGGGGTCTCCAGGGACATTAACATTCTATTACGGGGCGGGCGCGGTGGCTCAAGCCTGTAATCCCAGCACTTTGGGAGGCCAAGACGGGCGGATCATGAGGTCAGGAGATCGAGACCATCCTGGCTAACACGGTGAAACCCCCTCTCTACTAAAAAATACAAAAAACTAGCCGGGCGAGGTGGCGAGCGCCTGTAGTCCCAGCTACTCGGGAGGCTGAGGCAGGAGAATGGCGTAAACCCGGGAGGCGGAGCTTGTAGTGAGCTGAGATCCGGCCATTGCACTCCAGCCTGGGCGACAGAGCGAGACTCCGTCTCAAAACAAAACAAAACAAAACAAAAAAACATTCTATTACGGCGTCAGCTGAAGGCAGGAAACCTCCGAGGCAGGCAGGGCACAGGCCGGTGTGTGGCCTGGGCAAGTCCTAGGTGGCCCGGCCGGAGGCCGTGGAGGACACACACACCTTCTCAGGGCTGCCTGACACCACCTGAGGCCCTGACTCCCCAGGCCCCGTGGGCAGGTGTCATTCCTCAGCGAGGGGCTGCCTGGCCCCAGGACTGCTGCCTTCCCTGTCCATCTGTGTGCACTCACCGCCCTGCCCCGAGGCCCACATCAGCCAGGTCCTGAGCCCCACTGTCCTTGGACTGCCCTCCCAGCGCCCAGCTACCCCCAGCTCCATCCCTGACCAACTGGACTCAAGCCTGGGTCTGAGTCTGTGACGTCCCTGACCACCAACCAGGCCCACTCTTGCATCTGCTGCCTCCCACCTGGTGGCTGCCCCACCCTTTGAGGCTGGAGCCTGGAGGAGGGAGAATGATAGGCACCCGTGCCTGGGCCTCAGCCACCCATCAGGCCCAGCCCTGCCAACCACCGGGCCAACCAGTCCCTGTGACCAGCAGTGAACTAGGTCCCCAGGGAGGGGAAGGCACCCTTGGGCAGTGAGGCCCTCCTGGCTGTCCTGAGTCCCTACTTCCACACTACATCCACAGATGGCCGTGTCCTGTGCTTCCACACCTGTGCTGCGGGTGTTCAGGCAAAAACCATGCTGCTCCCTCAGCTTGGGACTCCTTACCAGCCCCGCCCATCCACTCATCCTTCAGGAATGCCACCTCCTCCAGGAAGCCCTCATGATACCCTAGTAAGAAGAGCAGTTTCCTCCATGCTACCCCACCTGGACATGGGATATTGTTCTCACATTCAGAACTGTGCAGGAGCTGGTAGGAGATGCTGGGGTCGAGGGAACTCCCATTACCAAAGCTTTGGTGTGAGGGAGGGGTTGTGGGAGAGCTAGAGGCGAAATGCAGGTTGTGAGAGTGAGTGAAGGAAAGGGGGGGTATGAGGAAAGGGGTGTGAGGGATGGGCTGTGGATGAGGGAGGGAGATGAAGGAAGGGGAATGAGGGGGTGTGTAAGGTAGGTGAGGAAGGAGATAAGGGAAGGGGTGAGGGAGGGGGTGAAGGAGGGGTGGGGGGTAAAGGAGGGGTGAAGGAGGGAGGTGAAGGGGTGAGGGATAGGTGAGGGAAGGAGTTAGGGGAGGGAGGGGTGAGAGAGGGAGCGAGGAAGAGGGTGAGGGAAGGATGAGAGAGGGTTAGGGAGAGGTAAGGGAGGGAGGGGCTGAGGGAGGAGGTAAGGGAGGTGATGAGGGAGGGGTGAGGGGGGATAAGGGGGTGAAAAGAGAAGGATAAGGAAGGGGTGAGGGAGGGGTGAGGTATGGGTGAGGGAAGGGTGAGAGAGGGGTGAGGTATGGGTGAGGGAAGGGTGAGAGAGGGGTGAGGGTGAGGGAAGGATGAGAGAGGGTTAGGGAGAGGTAAGGGAGGGAAGGGGTGAGGGAGGAGGTAAGGGAGGTGATGAGGGAGGGGTGAGGGGTGATAAAGGGGTGAAAAGAGAGGGATAAGGAAGGGGTGAGGTATGGGTGAGGGAAGGATGAGAGAGGGGTGAGGGTGAGGGAAGGATGAGAGAGGGGTGAAGGAGGGAAGTGGAAGTGGGTGAGGGAGAGGTGAGGGAAGGATTTGAGGGAGGAGGGAGAGAGTGAGGGAGGGGTGAGGGAGGGGTGAGGTATGGGTGAGGGAAGGGTGAGAGAGGGGTGAGGGTGAGGGAAGGATGAGAGAGGGGTGAAGGAGGGAAGTGGAAGTGGGTGAGGGAGAGGTGAGGGAAGGATTTGAGGGAGGAGGGAGAGAGTGAGGGAGGGGTGAGGGAGGAGTGAGGTATGGGTGAGGGAAGGGTGAGAGAGGGGTGAGGGTGAGGGAAGGATGAGAGAGGGGTGAAGGAGGGAGGTGGAAGTGGGTGAGGGAGAGGTGGGGGAAGGATTTGAGGGAGGAGGGAGAGAGTGAGGGAGGGGTGAGGGTGGGGGTAAGGAAGGGGTGAGGGAAGGGTGTTGGGGGGCGCCTAGGATGGAACCTAGGAGTATATTTGTCACAGGTCAGCACTTGAGCTCAGAGCCCGGAAGTATAGCTGGGTCTTGCACAATCCGCGGTACCCGTCTGGGAGAAATGGCCCTGCTGACTACACACACAGACTGGGTTTTAGGGGTGCTGACGCGGCTTTCTTGTGCTGTTGCCTCCAGTTCTGCCGGCTCAGTGCCTTGTGACCGGGGCCAGCGGCTCCTCCGCAGAGGGCTCACAGGGGTCCTGCCCACTCAGTGCCTCTCACACCTCTGCACCAACCCGGGCCTCAGCAGCCACAGGGTTCTGGCCTTCCTTGGGTGAGCCCTGGACACCCCCCTCACACAGACAGGTTCAGAATCTGGGAAGGGGTCCAGCCTCTTGTGCGCCCTACTGTCCCCTGCACCTGAGGGGCACTCGGGAGATGGAGTACGAGAGGCATGCTGTTGTCACCACGGCCTGCTGGGGTCATGTCACAGCTCAGAGCCTTGGTTCCCCCAGCTGTAGGGTTAGCATGAGCATGGCAGGTGAGGAACACCCACCGTCCCGCAGCCTGGCTGGGCAAGTGCTGGATGGGTTGCGGTGGGACCCCAAATGGTGATCAGATCTGGGGAGGGGACCTAGCACTGCCTTGCAGAGGGGCGAGGGAGCGGGGGTGGGTCTCCACAGACCAGGCTGCAGCCACAAGTGTGGAGGGAGTGGGCTACGCTGGCCTAAAACTGGCCTACAGACAGCTGGTGGGAGAGCCCAGCTGTCCGCTGGCTGGAAGGACGAGGACGTGCTGGGCTGGGGGCCAAAGAGGCTGCAGCTGGTGGGGCAGCTTCCTGAGGTCACAGCAGGGCAGCAGCACCTGGAGTTAGTGTTTCCTCTAAAGTAAAGTATTTGAGAGAAAGAGAAGAAAAATATGAAAGCATTGAGACCCCTAATTTTTTTTTTTTTTTTTTCTTTTTTGAGACGGAGTCTTGCTCTGTCGCCCAGGCTGGAATGCAGTGGCGTGGTCTCGGCTCACTGCAAGTTCCACCTCCCAGGTTCAGGCCATTCTCCTGCCTCAGCCTCCCAAGTAGCTGGGACTACAGGCGCCTGCCACCATACCCAGCAAATTTTTTTTTTTTTGTTTTTTGGTATTTTTAGTAGAGATGGGGTTTCACCATGTTAGCCAGGATGGTCTCGATCTCCTGATCTAGTGATCCACCCATCTCTGCCTCCCAAAGTGCTGGGATTACAGGCATGAGCCACTGTGCCTGTTTTTTTTTTTTTTTTTTTTGGAGTCTCGCCCTGTTGCCCAGGCTGGAGTGCAGTGGCACGATCTTGGCTCACTGCAACCTTTGTCTCCCAGGTTCAAAAGATTCTCCTGCCTCAGCTTCCTCAGTAGCTGGGATTACAGGTGCCCACTACCACACCTGGCTTATTTTTGTATTTTTAATAGAGACGGGGTTTCACTATGTTGGCCGGGCTGGTCTCGAACTCCCGACCTCGTGATCCGCCCACCTTGGCCTCCCAAAGTGCTGGGATTACAGGCGTGAGCCACCGTGCCTTTTTTTTTTTTTTTTTTGATACAGAAATCTCGCACTCTGTCTCCCAGGCTGTAGTGTAGTGGTGCGATCTCAGCTTGCTGCAACCTGCGCCTCCTGGGTTCAAGAAATTCTTGTGCCTCAGCCTCCTGAGTAGCTGGGACTACGGGCATGTGCCACTACACCCAGCTAATTTTTTTGTATTTTTAGTAGAAACAGGGTTTTGCCATGTTGTCCAGGCTGGTCATGAACTCCTGAGCTCAGGTGATCCACCTGTCTGGGCATCCCAAAGTGCTGGGATTATAGGCATGAGCCACCGTGCCGGGCCCAGTCCTCTGATTGTTAAGAATAATGCAGTACAAAAAAAAAAAAAAAAAAGAATAATGCAGTGAAGAACCAGGCACTCCACTCTGATTGAACACAGGTGGAAGTGGAGGTCCCTAGGAAATGGAGGGGAGGGCTGGACATAGGGTGTGACGTGGGTTCTGTCACAATGGCCAGCTCCTCAGTACACACGGATCAGGTGCTCCTCCCTGCCTGGCCCTACCAGGCCTGGGCCCAGCACCTTGCATGGAGGCCCAGTTGCCTCCCCACTCATCTGGCATGAGCTGCCCTCATCCTTCCTCCGCACATGTGGAATGAATG